TATCTGGCACAAGGCAAAAGATACCGAATGGCTTACAACAAACGCAACGGTACAACGTCTATATCTTGTTTTAATACAAATTAATCCAAGATAAGCTTTGGAAATTACATTCCCATCACATACATACGGAGTGAAAACTAAAGAGCTACAAACTGCGATCCAGTCTTGATCTATTCTAACTTAAGGACTTATCAGTGCAGTTTCATTAGCATTTTATTCGTCCAAGGAAATAAAAAGTATCGGCAATTTCCCACCGCCTTCTCTTTTTCAAGCACACATGGGGAACAATCCCCGCGGTCAAGCCGCGTACGCTTCGAAGCGTTTCTCTCCTCCTTCTATCATTTATAGAAGAAGGGAGAAGAAAAACACTTGAAAACATTTGAAGCGACAGCCTGAAAGCGCAGCCAATGCACCATGTCCGAATCGTGTCGCCGGCCTCCGCCGCGACGGGCGAGAAGAAGAAATGAAAGCGTGTGCCGTCGCGGGCGGACGTCGCGGCGGGATTTCCTCGCGGGTCGACGCGATAGCGTCGCGAGGATAGGACGGCGGAGAAGAATCAATTTCCAGCCGGTCAATATCAGCTACGCCGTGTATATCGATTGACGTCCGCGCGACGGCACGGGGCCGCTCGACTCCGTACCCTTGTTCCTCCCCGAGCGGACGGTCTCGCGGGCGCGCCGCGCGTCCCGACGGACGCCCCGACGCCGGGGGCGGCCGGTTCGCGGGCCGCGCGACGCTGTCAACGCGTACTTACATCGGGGCGAGGTCCGACGGACGGCCACGGGAGGACGGTCTCGGGACCGACGTCGGCGACGTCGGCGACGGCGGCGACGGGTGCGCGGACCGCTCGGCTCGACTACCGCGGGACCGACGTCCGACGCGCGCGGACTCCGGCGATCACGCGTCTCGCCGCGACACGGCCGACCGGGGCGAGGAACTCGGACGCGCCGCCAAGAGTAAAGTCGTGTCGCCCGCCACCGGCGATCCCCGGGATTAATGGACGAACTTCCGCAAGTAGTTCCGCGTTCCGGTCGTCGCCATGGCGACCGCGGCGCAGGGATACACGGGACCCTCGCCCCGAGGGGGGGCGAAGGGGCGGCAGGGCTTCCCTTCCCCCGCCGCGCCGGCCGTCGCCGGGCCGGGATCCATACTCGGCGACGGGACACGAGGTTACGCGACGATGCCCGACCGCGCGGCAAGATGGCGGCGCCCGTGCCGGTGGATTCGCCCCCCCCCCGATTCGTTCGTCGCGCAACGTGGGGGACCTGATCCGAGACGAGCGTCGTGCCGCGAGGGGATGACTAATGTACGCGCGGAATGAAGAGGGAAGCGGAGTGTATCGTGGCGTACGCTCCTCGTGCCGCGCGACTCGGCCGAATCGCGCGTTTATGAAAAGCCGCCGTTCTCGACAAGCGAGACTCGTAATTCGAGGTAAAAAGGAGATACATCCTTCGCGGGAGGCACGCGTCTCAATTCGTATCGAGTGTGAGCTCTGCAGCGAGGCGGCTCGTAGATCCTCTCGAGGATCGCCTCGGGCTCCGGTCGACTCTCGTGGATCCTCAAGACTTTGTGTTCAATTGCAGCAAGTTCATTCGGTCCTGTCGGACAGAAGGCTCTCGTCTTCGTCGCTGCTTCTTCCATCGATATCTATTTCATTTTGCAAACTAAAGACTTGAAACATCGACTCTGTTCTCCGATTCATTCGATGGGGAAACGTTCGCGGAAATTCTGCTCTTGCGGAAAAGTCGATTGGCTATTCGCACGGTTTTCAACCAGTCGACTCCGAACTCTTCTGCGAGAGCGGAATTGTGTGTGGCGATTATTCACCTCGGCGAAAGTATTTTGAATTAAAATTGAAACGCCTTTGTTTCCTTTCAAGAATGTCCCTGAAAAACCGTATTGACAAAGTTCAGCAAAAGCGTCCAAGACTCCTCTGTGCGTCTACATCGAATGCATTTGCAATTGAACGCCAAGTCTTGAAGATCTGCGAGTAGAGAGATAACGTAGCACGAATCCAAGAAAATACCATACGAGTCACTTTTCACGCGTTAAAATGGAAATTCCAAAAGTTCAAACGGACATTAAAGAGCGCGACAATGAATGCGGCACTTGAGATCGAAGCGGTTGTCGGGAGTTTAATTTTCAAATTTCCACTTGTACGCGTTAGAAGCGATATAGATTTTTCGTTTGGAATTGCCGGCAAAAATCCCGAGCTAGCCCGTCATTCGGAAGCGACCGCGTTCGGCGGAAAAAGCTGCTTTGTAATTGTAAAAGCGCCGAGTCCGATTGGCGTACGCTCCTGATTGCGGTAGAATCCAAGAGCATACTCCAATGAAATGCACGAACTTTACAACTGTTGCAAATCAGTGTTTTCTGCCAAACGTAGCCCATGTCTACGTCTGTCACAGTTTGTTTCTTTTCCGCCAGTGGTGCCGCAGAGAGAGAGCTCGGCGTGGCGGAGGACTTGTCGTTGCGACGAACATGCCTCCGCGATCGCGTCACGTGCCCGAGGCCTGACACTCGACACCGCGAAGGTCCTTCAGACTCAACCCCGAAGCCGAATCCTAGGCGAGTTGGCGAGCTCGCAGCCCCCGGTGCCATGAACGGAGGCGGAACGATAAGGTTATCTAAGCGTAGGTTCCTCTATGTGTGTAATTATTTATCGCAGTAACGGCGCTCTCGGATAGCGAGACCCGCGCGGACGGATATAAAGTGCGGGCGAGCTGCTGCTGCTGCTGCTGCTGCTGCGTCTTCCTCTGACGATGACGGAGCACGAGCAGAACGCGATGTTCGCGCGGGTGGCGTCGGCGCTCTTCTACGGGCTGTCGTCGTTCATGATAACGGTCGTCAACAAGACCATCCTCACGACGTACGCCTTCCCGTCCTTCCAAGTGCTGGGGATCGGCCAGATGCTCGCGACGATCCTGGTCCTGCTGGCCGCCAGGCGGCTGCGCTACGTTGACTTCCCCAGCCTGGAGACGGCGACCTTCGGCAAGATCTGGCCGCTGCCGCTCATCTACATCGGCAACATGATATTCGGGCTAGGCGGCACCAAGCAGCTGAGCCTGCCGATGTTCACCGCCCTCAGGCGGTTCAGCATCCTCATGACAATGATCGCCGAGTACTACATCCTCGGCGTGAAGGCGCGCCTCTCGATACAGCTGAGCGTCTACACTATGATCCTGGGCGCGGTGGTGGCCGCGCTCAACGATCTCGCCTTCAATCTCGAGGGCTACATCTTCATCCTGTTGAACGACCTCTTCACCGCCGCCAACGGCGTGTACATGAAGAAGAAGTTGGACTCGAAGGAGCTGGGCAAGTACGGGCTCATGTATTACAATTCTCTCTTCATGCTCGGGCCGACGGTGCTGCTGGCCTGGTGGATGGGCGACCTTACCCAGGCGCTCGACTTTCCCAGCTGGACCGACCCGCTCTTCGTCCTGCAGTTCGCCCTGTCGTGCGTCATGGGCTTCATACTGTCGTACAGCACGCTCCTCTGCACGCTGTACAACTCCGCGCTCACCACCACCATAATCGGCTGTCTGAAAAACATATGCGTCACGTATCTCGGCATGGTCATCGGCGGTGACTACATATTCTCCTGGCTGAACTTTGTAGGGTTGAATTTAAGCGTGATAGGTAGCTTAGTGTACACCTGGGTGACGTTCCGTAAGAGAGAGAGTCCGCAGCCCAAGTACGCCCTGGTTGGATCTCAGGCTAGTAAAATACAAGCCATATGATTGTAAGTTTCTCGCGCGTGGCTCTCGGAGGGCGAGCCGAACGTCGTGTAATCTCTGTATATAATACACAAAGCATTTGTACAAAAGGTTTTATATAACTTCGGCGAGCGTGTAAACAGCTAGTGATCTTCGTTTAGGTGTAAGGCGGATATGTGTGTAAGGCTTCGAGGTAGAGAGTACATGTTCCTTTGTTCGTTCCAAGAAGCGGCAGGGTGGCGCGTATGCGACCAGCAGCTGTTACTTCTGTTCCTCGTGTCACAAAGTGCTCTTTAACTCACCGGAAGTTAGGGAGCGACGTGAGATAGTACCGACAACCCGACTGTAATATATACCAAAGTGAAGTTGCGTTACCAAATAAGTATTACGCTGATTAGGAGGACGATACGAATCGATCAGGGTACCAGCGTCGCCATCGAGTTAGATGTAATCTGTACACGCTAATCTGTACATACATAACGGCGCTATTTTAATGGAAATAAATTTTATTTATTAACAGACAACACGCGCCTTCCAGACCTTCTTACTCTCCTCGCTCGGTTTCAGGCCGCTTCGCGACCGCCTGCGAGGCGTTCCTGGAGGATTACGCCAAGCACCATGTATCCCTATCCCCCCTGCAGCGTGCGCTTCTCACGGTGGGCTCGGCGACGGTGTCTCTGGCGAATCCGTTTCGAGGTGACATGATAGCGTGCCTCGGGGAGACCACCGGCGCGAACGCCCTCGCGCACTGTCGTCGACGGATGATGGACACGAGCGAGGGCCAGCGTGTGCTCGCGCGAAAGCCGCGCGTCAACACGTCCACCGTCGACCTCTCTCACCTCAAAGACCTGCCGCCAGGAACTGTGGGCAGAACGTATCGCGATTTCTTGGATGACAACGTAAGATATGAATCGCACCGTCTCCCCGGGACGAGCGAGCGGAACGTAACGAGCGGGCTGTGATTGCAGAACGTGTCGCCCGACGATAGAGTCGCGGTGCAGTTCGTCGACGATGTCGAGCTGGCCTACGTGATGCAACGGTATCGAGAGGTGCACGATATCTTTCACGCTGTACTCCTGATGCCGACGACGATGCTAGGAGAGGTGTCGGTTAAGTGGGTAGAGGCTTTGCAGACGCGTTTGCCGATGTGCATTACCGGCGCGATATTCGGAGCTAGTCGGCTACGTCCTAGGTAAACTCGTGTGCACGCGATAGCCTGTGGTTATCACTAATGTATCGTCATCATTTCGTATGATATTTCAGACAGAGGCAATTGTACTTGGATCATCACCTACCGTGGTCCATTAATGTCGGGTTGAACGCCGAGTTCTTGCTAGGGGTGTATTTCGAGGAGCGCTGGGAGCAGCCCCTCGACGATTTTCACAGAGAAATGAATATCGTACGCCTCGTGTGAGACTAACAAATTGTTGATACAGTTGCAGATAAGTGCCTGTTATTTACTTAATAGATGGAAAATAAAGTTTTCATATCCCAATGGTTTAACTCGTTGAAACCCTTCGACTGTCGTCGATATTAAATCATTTCTTAAGTAAATCTTTATGTATACGCACGGATAAGATCGGATCTGCAATTCGCAAAGCGACACACACACGATTGATATTACAAATTTGATTTAATTAAACGTTACATCTGTTATAAACATATATAATCTAAAATTGTACGTTTACCATAATCGTTATTATCGTCGTTGTTTCCAATAATCGTAATTGTGATTCTGTTTTGCTCTTTTGCTCCTGTCTTCGTCGTTTTCTTAGTTAACATCGTTAATATGCACGGGGTGTATCTTAAAATGGAAGTACGCTTTAGAGGCCTAGTTTATGTCCATTGGAACGAAATATTCGCGCAAAGTTCAAGTCATCTTGGAACCGCCGTCCTTTCTGAGTTACCACTATTTGGCACAGAAATTGTTGAGACGTCCTTATTCTTAAGTCGGAAGAATTAATAACGCAATAACTCGAATCGCAAAGAGAGCACCCTCGTTCCAAATACATCCCGTGAATTATACATTATGTATTTCCGAATAAAATTGGAGATGACTTAGCTTAAGATATACATATATAAGAAAGGATATATATATGAAGATTATTTCTATTTAAAAATCTTGCGCCACTGCGAAATTTGATTAAAGATCAAACGACCCGCCCTCCCCCTAAGATAGATAAGCTGAATCGATCAATACGAGTACATCGTGATATTATTTCGTAAAATAAGTACATATAAATATAGATGAGCAAAACTGATTGTCATTCTTCGACGTAATTGAGTGCATTACGCTCGCTTATGCCGATTTTACTTATATTATTTTGCTTCGGCTACGTGCAACAAATTTCCACGATGATATAATTAAGTACCCAGCCGATGAAACGCGACTAAAAGTTTTCGCGCAGAATCTGCAACATACTCGAGGAAAATTGCGACAAGTTTCGTAGGCGAGCTTGTTCGCGTCGTCATTCTATCGCGATCGGCTGCCTGGACAATAGATATAGAAGAAATGGAACGACATTTTTTTAACAGTATAAACGATAATAAGTATCACATATATATTATATATATGTATAAGCGTAGGAAAGATATGTAAAGTAAGAAATTAGTAAATAGATGTGAATCTCTTTTCTTTGCCCGCGAAATCACGTATTTCTCGCGAATGATTGCTACGGCAATAATCGTCGAGAGATTATTCTCGGATTACGCCTTGACATACGCGCGGAACATTAATACGAGAAACCTGCGATTATTCGCCGCATGGAATTTTTATCGTTATGTTGTTAGCCTACACTTACTTATATAATCAAAATTAGATAAATCTAGTTGAGCAGTAATTTTAGTGGCCAGAGAGCATCCCACGTTGATGTGTTTAGGCATTTTGCGACTCCTCGATTCGACACAATTCGCAATTAGTTGGAGCTACCTGCGATCAGGAAAGAAATCAGGATGCTTCTCAGCTGATTGTAATCGATTTGGTCCGCGCCGCCGCTGCTGCCGCTGCTGCTGCTGCTGCATGGATCGTCTTTCGTATGCTCTTTCGGCAGAGATGCATTCGCATTTAATCCAGAGTCAGCTTCTTGAGGTAGCAGTAAATCTCCTGGAAACTGGGCCGATCCTCCGCAAGTTTGCACCAGCATCGCAGCATCAGCCGGTACAGATCGTCCGTGCAGAACACCGGCTGCTCGAGGATCCGCGGACATTTCTTTTTACCGGCGTTCTCCAACGAGTACCATAGGCCGCAGTTCTCCAACACCTGTTCCGAGGTCAGATCGGCGTACGGTATGTCCTCGCAGCGCGTCAGCACTTCCCAAACCGTTACGCCATACGACCAAACGTCGGATTGGCAGCTTCGCTTTCCCTAAACATACGCGAGAAACATTATTCTCAATTTAAGTATTGCGACATTTTCGCATAACATGTATCAAATGTCCTGGTTTTCCTGAACAAAGTTTTCTCTTCTCATTGTCAGAATAATCTTTTAGATCTATGTCGCGAGGCATATTCGGAAATTAAGGCTACAACATACTACAAAAGTCGACAAATGCATATTTATTATTGAAACTTGTACGACAATTTTGCACAAGTATACCACTATTTTTCCACGTAATCGCCATTCAGTTCCAAGCACTTGGCGAGCCGGGTTATCCAGTTTTGTATTCCTATGTCACACATTTCTGCCATCTTCCTCGACCATTCACACACGGCATCCTTCACCTCTTCGTCAGTTGAAAAGCGTTTTCCATCCATGTGGTATTTCAAAAAGGTGAAAAGAAAAAAGTCACTTGGTGCCAGGTCGGGACTATAGGTAGGATGGCTCAGAATATCCCAACCAAAACTGTTGATGAGATCGACCGTTTTTCGTGCGGTGTGGGGCTGAGCGTTATCATGCAACAGATACACCCTCTTTGCCAGCCGATCTCTCCTCTTGCTTTCAATGGCCTGACGAAGCCTCCCGAGGGTCTCGCAGTATCTGTCGGCATTTGCGGATTGACCTGGAGTCCAAAAATCGATAAGCAAAATTCCTTTTCGATCCCAAAAAAATGTTGCCATGATTTTCTTCACGGGCTGTCGCGCTTTGAATTTTTTTGCCGGCGGGTAATCCCCGGCAAAATTCCACCCCTGCATCGATTGCCTCCTGGATTCCGGTGCGTAATGAGTCACCCATGTTTCATCACCAGTCACAATTGAGTCGAGAAATTCTTCACCCTCCACCTCATAACGATCGAGCAACTCCCGAGCTGAATGAACTCGATTTGTTTTGTGTTCTTCTGTTAACATTTTCGGTACACACCGCCTGCACAGTTTTCGAAAATTCAAACGGTTGATTACAGTTTTATACAGCAAGGTTCGACCGACTTCCGGACACATTTTACGAAGTTCGTCCACAGTCAAACGGCAATCTTCGCGAATTAGTCGCTCGAGTTTGCCAGCCAACTCGTCAGTCATAATCGACAGTTTCCCGTTCCTGCTCATCACGAATGTTTAAACTTCACTTTGCCACTCTATCATAGGACATGACGTTGCCGTAAACGGAAACAATTTCGTGGTAGATGTCGGCGGGCTTTTTATCTTTAGCGATAGCGAAATATCGGATGACGGCTCGCACTTCACACTTGACGGGATCGGGGTTTATGTCAAGACACGATTCTGACGTAACCAATCGAGCTACCTTTCGCATTTGAAGCGAACAGTCGAGTGGCTTATTGGATATCGACGGAAGAGACACCCGATCACACGTACGCGCGCAGTGATCAGGCAAAACGACGGTTGTTCCGAAAACAACAATAATCTTCTGTTTTGCTAACATGGGCCTTAGTGCGAAGTCATCACAAGTCGGTCATTGGCACAAACATCTAGCCGAAAGGTGGAATATTCTAGATGATGACTGCGCGAAGCCCATGCCAGCAAGATCAGAAAACGACTCTGAAAACAATAATGACAATGTTCGAAAGCAATCGACTTCTAGCTCGCATTTGACGTATCAATGCACGTCATCTCGAACATACGCAGTTGCTCGTTTGGTGGCCTTAATTTCCGCATATGCCTTGTAATTTACGTGGAAATTTTACCGAAAATTAAAATGTGTAAGAGTGTCCGAGTGTCAAAACAACAGAAAAGCAATGCAACGGGATGAATAGAAAATTCTTTTCTTATTGGAATCTTCATTACGGAACGCTCACCGATAAGACCGCTTCCCATGCCATCCAACGTAATGGTATCTTCGCATAGCACTCGTCGACGTAATATTCGCCGTCATATTTGCTGCAGTACATGGCCTGATCCGATACTTTGATCAGCAGATCTTTACAAACGATGCAATTCCTACGAGATATGTCGACAAACGTATTATACATATGCCATATGTAATATTATGTAGCGAATGTATTGTTACCTGGCTGCTAGATCGCAATGCGGTACGTTTAAACTCTCGAGGTACTTCATACCCGAAGCGATTTGAGTCACCAGATTCAATGAGCACTCGTAACTGCAGAATCCATAATTACGTGAGAGCCCATAGAGAAGATAACACGAGTCGTCGTGCAGGCTTACCTTATCGGCGCGTCGCGGTCGCGACTTTTTAGAAAACTTGACAGATCCCCGAGTTCCCCGTATTCGAAAATGGCACTAAAAGGTTCCTCCTCGACGATCGCGATTATCCTGGCGATATTGACGTCCCGTATTTCGGCCAAGGTGTGCATGTCGTTCATAAAGTCCTCCCTGAAACGATACGTTGCCGTACAAAGCTTTGCGGAAGCTCGTTAAACGCGATGCTTTCCACGATAAAAATGTTTTTCAGAATTTTTCTACGAACTCGAACTACTTTCAGAAATATTGGAAAGGTCTACTTCTTTTCATGTACGTGAATATTCTGATTGTATTTCTAAGATTTCTCATTCTATAATTTTTGAAAAAATATCTTAAACGTTTTCAAATCTTATAAGACTATGTCTAAAATTATAGAGTGAGAAATTTCAATTCATACATATAAAAAATTCTAGAAAAGATGTACATTTTCTCGGCACTTCTGAAGAGTGTACCAATTTGTCTAAAAAGTCTGAAAAAAGTTCACCAAGGCTTACCTCAAAGCGTCAACCACACCGCGCCACAAGGACCGGACTATAACTACTTGACGGTTTTGAAGGATACCTAGATCCGGATTTTGTATGCCTTTCGCCTCGCATAGGTGAACCTGAATGGGATTCACATCTTCGCGTTATAAATGAAGAAAGAAAATATAACAGATGGCAAAGAGACGATTCTTATTCAGGAGATTAAGCGAAAATATATAAATGGGACTCACCAAACCGAAGTTTCCCTCGCCGAGTTTATCGAGGATTCTCAATCTGTGCCGAGAGATGCGCGGGACCTCGTAAGTCCCGCGTTTGTACGATACGATCGAATCGCGAATGAGCAGCGGCGTGAAGAGACTCACAACGGGATGCTGATCGCGTCTCTTGATCTACAACATACCGTAATACTGTACCGAGTATTGCATTAACAATCGCAGGACTGTCTAAATTACCGTTTACATTTGTGCACGCCGCGAATCCTCTTACCGTCAAGATGTCCGTGGCCGCGTAATAACTCTCGTATATTCTCTGATTAATCTTTCCCGTTTGCGAGTGACTCAGTTTTCGCGACATCGTTGGCATTACGCAGTCTACTCGCGCTTCATCGAAGCTCTCGCTGGTGTTAGTGTCTAAAAAAACATATGCGAATTATCAATAATAATGTTAGATTGTAATTTGAGCACGCATGAGAGATGTTTGATTGGGCGCGAGCATTATTTAACAATGGCGCTTGTTATTACGAGTTTATAAATAATTTCGTTTATTTTAGCAATTAATATGCATTCGTATTATTGAATATGAAATTAATCATAACTAAATTAAAATCAATTAGGAAAGGCGCGGGGAAAATTGGGGCAAATGTAAATTATTAAGTGCGGGATGGAAAGAAGCGAATCAAATAAATGTATTCCGATAATTATAGGATAAGCGTCCTGTACCGACTGTATATAGAAATTTCATGTTTGCGTCTAACGTAACATAAAATATTTCTCGATTGCTCCTGGAATGGGACACAAATCAATATTAGAGCTAATTATTAATGCCATTAACGGCCATTAATATGCGGTTCTGCACGTACCGAAATGTTCTGTTTTATAATTGGATCTCGCTTCGCATTTGACATACGGCTCCGGGGATATTTTATTTATCTTTTCATAAATGCTGTGCTGCTCGCTCGTATCGACGTCGCCGAATTTGTAATCGCCGTTCGGGGCAATTTTGCTTTTTAACGACAGCCGAGATTGCGACAGATTGTTCACCACGATCGGTGTGGGTAATTTGATATCCTTTGTATTGATCGTGATACCCGGCGCCGGCGAGCCGCATAATAACACGGTATGCTTTTGTAACAGAGCCACTTTGTTGCGACCCCTCTGCTTTATCAGGAAGATCGTGCAGCCCGAAAAAAAGACTATTATAGTCAACGCAGCGCTGATTAGCCCGATATACGTTGGCGAATTGTTCACGGGAAACGCGTCCGGCGTCAGATTCGACTCGTTCAACACCAACGTTGTTTCGTTCAAGTCAGCTTTCGGTTTTCCCGTCATTGTACCTCCCTGTTGAATATTAATCTTCCTGTCATCATCGGCCTCGCCTCTGATCTTGTTGTCGGTATGAATTTCTAGATTGCCGATCTCGCCTTTAATCTCCTTGTCCTCGATCTGTTTTATTCTCGCGGTCTGATCTTGATTAATTACTTGGGACATGTTCTCGTTACTGTTCGTATATATCCATGACAAACGTGCCAACGCTCCGTCAGTGCTGTTTCTCACGTCTGAAACTGAATTACAAGATAATAAGTATATCTCGAGCATACTTTGAATGTTATAACATCACTACGAAATTGAGTCAAGTGATTACCTGTCTGGAATGTAATCTCGCTTATCAACAACCATTTTGACTGAGGTTTTATTTCCATTTTGATAAATTTGCCGAGCCTCGATTGCAACGGAATGGATATCGAAGCGCTACTCCTGCCATTCTTTTCATTGCTGTTGCCGGGAATGATGTTCACCTTAGGGTCGTTCAACAGTTGAAACGTCTCCGGTGTTTCGTGATACTCCTTGCCATCCGAGGAAAACCAAAAGCTCACCGTCGAGAACGTCTGAAAGTTGCGGGACTTGGAATAAGCTTGCTGTCGCGTCAAGAATTTGTTCCAATCACCTACCTCGACACTCAAATCGGGCAGATTTGCCACGTGAATCGTACAATTCCTAAATTTCCGCGAGAGTTCGAACTCAAACAACAATTCTACATTATCCCGATCGTGCCATCCGACCCAGTTGGTTACTCTGTCGGACTCCAGAATCTCCATCTCGCTGCCGATTATGCCGTCGGTTAATTGTCCCAGTCCGTTCAACATTAAATTCTCGATCTCCGTGCCGTCGTACGACGTGTCCTCGACGTTACACCCGTTAGGCCCGTCTGCGTCGGCTTTGGGCGCGGTGTAACTAGCGATGCCTTTTGCACAGTGAAGGGTGTTTTCGTTATATCGCATTCATTTCAATTGTCGTTTCTCTCTAAATATGATTTCTGACATTTTCGACATTTTATTACGCTGCCGATTATATATTTTCACGTATAAAAGGACAAATGCGCTTGATTAGAGCTGCATTTAAAGCGATCAATAAGCGAATCGTATTTACAACAAGTACACGTATACCCTTTGCAAATAAATGTAACATTAAATAAACGTATAGAACACTCACGATTCCAGACGCAGCCGTAAATCTCGACGCGCATGCATACAGTGCGAGGATGCTGACTGTAAGGAACGAATCTCACTCGACTCGCGATGAATGGTAGATCTAACTTCTGTTTCTCGACTAGATATGTATTGCTGTTGCCACGCAGGACCTACAATATGTACAATGCAATACGTGATAATACGTTAATGTAATTAAGTTTGGCCTGCAGCAAGTTTTAGAACGATTCTTTCTTAGGGATACGACGAGAAATTTATCTTAAATTAAAGTTATAGGCTGTTAAAATAAAGAAAATTAAATGTGAATTTTTAATTCTTACAAGAAACCTTAAAACTTTTCATAAAATCTTTAACTGCAAGTTATTTTAAGTTTCTATGCAAGAATTACGTCTTAAATAGTTTGAAATTGATCTTCATTAACAGTCAGGTGTACCTTGTTCCCTCTTAAATCTTTGTACTGATGCCATTTTTCGTGCCGCCAATATTCGAGAAAAAATGCCTCGGCATATTCTTGGCCTTGACCGTTACCGAATCTCCCCTGGGTCTCGGTCCACGTAATAAGATGGTCTCTCATCAGATCGATCTCCAAGTACTCGCGTATGGCGCTACTGATTTGCGCTTTCGGGCACCAAGCACCGCCGTTCTTTTCCTGCCGTATTCTGCGAACGTACGCACATCATCATGACGGCTGTACATAATTAATGCACGTTATATATTTCCGGGTTAAACCGTGTACCTCGCATTTTGGGGACCGACGGATTTCATCTCATAACTGGATGACGCGGTGATCGCCTCATCCGGGATTTTTCCTTCTTCCATGCCGAGTGGAAGAATGCATTTTTCTAAAATTACAGTCCACATATCTTGAATATTTTAGAGCTCGAGTATTATTAACTTACATATATTTTTTATACGCTTATGAATATGTGAAACGTGTTACTTGGCCTCTGATTATTTCCTACTGTAAACGTCATGTCAGTGAAATAAATAAATGGCCACGAAAAATGCGTTTATTATTTATATTTTTACTTTGGGTTGTTTTTGCCGCCATTATTCCTTTCCTCTGCTATTACGATTATCATTTATCGTCGCGTTTACGTGTGCCGTACAATCCATCTTTTGTAACGAAATAACGAGTCCATTATTATTCAACACAAAATATCATACATTTATCACTTTAAAAAACTCCAAAGATCGTAGAGGAAGCGTCAATAAAGTATATCAGTGCGAAACCCTGTAAAATTTTGCGAAAATATCGTGCCGCGAGATAAATATCACCCGCGCATAGAAAGGGGTTGATAACGGAGAGCGGAAAAGTGGCAGGGCCCAACTCACCGAGAGCGTCCCCGACGGATCCCCTCGCGCACCAGCTGAACAGTATTAGGACTTTTATCAAAAGGCGTACTGTCTCCATGATATGTTGCGATAGCGCGGCGCGTACCGATGCTCCGAGCGCATTTACAAATCATAATACAGCCCGAGGGACTTCCGCATCCCCGTTCTTGGCCCCGCAAGGCAGGAGGGCACCGTCGAAACGCGCGTACGGAGGGATGCGATTTCACGGAACGGCGTCCGCGAGACGTGATGCAGCTCTCCGCTCTCGCACAGGGTGGGGATGTTGATACTCGGCGTAGCCTGGCCCGGCTGTTGTCTCTGCGCAACAAGTATGGAACGATCAATATGCGTTATTTCGCGGGTGGGCGAAATTCTCCGCGCGTATATTTCGTTAATTCGTTTCTTTTCTCTTTTTCCCTCCCAACACTCCCGCCGCCACCTCCTGCTCCTCCTCCTCCTCTTCCGCCGAACGCGCGTCCGATCTCCCGGGGGAGGTAAGACCGCCGGGGATCCCCGCGTCGAGGCCTCCGTTGATCTCTCGACCCTCCGCAGCGACGTCCTTACCGTTCGGGAGAAACCGCCGACGCTCCGAGGCCAGTCTCATAATTTTCAATGGGACACGTGCGTCGCGTCAATAATAAGCCTCCTTCCAGATTCGGCCGCTCATCTAGCTGCTCCGCCCGGCTCGCATCTCCGCGTCTCTCCTTCGCAAAACGACCGCGCACGGGTCCTCACGGCGCGATCACATCCCGGCCCCGCACATCTCCGCGACGTTTCTGCGAGCGAGGGGCGAGCGGCGGCCGCGGCATTGCTCTCCACGGTCACTGCGTGGATATTCCGCGGGCGGAAAGGTCCGTTTTCGGGGATGATACGTGATAACGCCGAGGGGTGTGACGTCCCGGCAGCCAATGACGATAGCGGCGGCGTTTCACTGCGCAAAATCATAAAATTCCCGATAATCGAGATGTTTTTCCAACGGCGAGGGCTCTTCATTAACTCCAAATGCGCCGGTCTTTTTTGGAGCAAAACGCACTGTTAATTTAGCTGATCAAATCGGTGCATTAATATACATGATTTCACAGGCGTGTATCAAATATGCATATTAATACGTACATGGGTATACAATACATGCTTTATTACGCATATAATTAGAGCATATGTCGCCTTATATTGCCGTTGATAAAACACATGTAAATTGACTGTGAATTTATCTATGGCATACGCATTTAAACGAAATTTATTCCAACACGACTGAGAGTGAGGAGCGGGAAACATTGTGATGAAGGAGGTAGCCTAAAGAACATGAGAAGGTACTCGTGTATTTTTTTTTTATTGGCAAACTTTATACCACCGCAGCATCTTCCTCCTTAATTCTATATCCTATATAATACATTTATGCTGTACTTTTCTCACTTCCGTGCAACAACGTCGCTCTCTGCACAATCGGTAATATCTGTTTGCGCGTTACCTTCACATTTCCCTGTCTGTACAAACAAAGGCTATACCTCTCCCTTCGAGTCTCTTTGATCAATTCTAGATTCAGAAGTGGCTGGGTGGATTCAGCCAACGCTCGAATTATCTGCAAACGATGTCAAGGGATATGTGGAGTACACCGGGGTGAATTTAGCGTGGCAATTTCGGCCGTTCTCTTTCGCAAGGTCGTATATCGATTTTACACAATTTCCGGTTTTCCTTCTCAGACGCTCGTTCTCGTCCTAAACGAGTGTCCAAGCAGAAAAACCGAAAATTGTGGAAAATTGTGGAAAATCAAGGTACGACCTCGCAAAAGAGATCGGTCGAATTGCGTTAAATAATACTCACGTCGTTCGCCAATTGATTGCATGGCGTTGAAAAGATTGCGACATCTCTGGACACGCGCTCCCTCATCACGTCCTGCCCGATCAGGACGACGATGTCGCAATTTCTTTCATTGGCAAACTTTTCAATGACCTCCTCCCCATTCTCGTGCATGACAAAATTCTGGAATTTCCCTCTCGTTATACTTGATCGGTGAAAAAATCAATTTACAATATTAATGAAATAAAAACAATTTCAGGCAACGCACTTTCACCAGGAGGGAAAATCCAACGAGGGGTATTCCATTCGTCATTTTTAGATCCTTAATCATAAGTTCTTCCAGAGTTAATTCACTGATGTCCGTCTTTGCGCGCATAAGTTCTCTAAACGTCTCAGTTCTGTCGGACGTGAGTCTACCCTGTTGCTCAAGGGCGTTTAATACGTCGACGTCAGTGGCAGTCGCTCGCCCGGCCTCGTCCGACATGTTATAGGTGTCGATCAATATTGGACCTGCAGAAAATATCGAATGCTGTGTGAAAATAATAGAGTCTCGTGTCTATTATCGAATCTATCCGAGTAGCGCTTAATACCACGCAAGAGGCTCGAGAGTTGCGCGTCCAGCATATCAGGATTCCTCTGCAGGACACTGCGCGCGACCAGGGTGGCGCAGCTTCCAACGGTCTCCACGTTCAAGGACACGTTGGGCCACGGCCAGGCCGGGTCCAACGGCCGATGGTCGACGACCGTCACGACCGCCGGTCTCAACGCGACGTCCTCGTCGGCGAGAGTGTGATGATCGACCAGGATCAGCTCCAGCCTTCCGTCGCTCTGCACATTTTGCAAATCGATCTGATCTCTGTCGGGAGTACAATGGAACACAGCACAGAGCATCTCAAGCCATCCGAGCTATCCAGAGTGCTCACCTAAACGTCAGCAGGTCCAACGGGATGCCGTGAGACCTCAGGCTGTAAACAACCTCCGTCTTGATGCGAAACTCCCTCTTCGGAACATTCATGACCGATATTACGGCGAGGTCGGCGAGTCCGCGCCTCGCGGCGTCCACGTGCTCCAGCAGCCCTTGGACCAGGGCGCACACAGCCGAATCCAAGTCGCACGTCGGATTCCCCAGGACGACGCGAATTTTCCGGTAGGACGACAGCCGGGACTGCAATACAACGCAGCGGATGAGAAAACGAGCCGAGTGTGACAGCAAGCTCTGTGGCTCTCTAGCTCTTTAGCCATTGTCGTCTCTTCCCTCTTTCTGTCTTAGCCTCGTCTACAATGTGCTCTTTGCGTTTAGAAACATTCTACTTCCAGCCAATACTCACATTTAACAATACGTGTACGTTGATCAATTGTATGTACATTATAGAATCGTACATTGTCGACAAAAATTCTTAAGCGCACTGCTTTGCTTATGCAAAATAGAACGTTTCTAATCGCAGACACGTTGCAGATTAGACTTTGCAGTGCTACATAATTTTTTATTACAGCGTTACAGAGCGTTGCATTTTACAGAATGGATCCGCAAAGCGGAATATACGCCTCTGCACGAGAAAAGTGGCATCAGTAAAGACTACACGGTTTTATGTTTCTCATAAAATTACAAACTTGACGACGCGTGTACTTCTATCCACAAGAGCGTCAAGGAATTATAATTGCTGCATCGATTACGTGCACGCCATCGATGTAACACAAATTTGGAAAGGTGGAAAGATCGTCCTCCCGCGGAATCGCTATTTGTCACTTCTCCCGGAGACGAGGCGCGAACCACGGAATTGTTACCAGGGCGGTTTTGGAAGCATTGAGAAACGCCTCCATAGCTCGCGTTTGCAATCCGTTTCCTCCTCGTTCTCGCGCACCAAGTCTCGTTTCTCGATTTTATCCTCGGTCTCCCAACACCGTTAGAGGTTAGTTTCCCTCTGTCTTCGTCTAGTTGGTCTCGTTTATCGACCCGCGCATGCGTCATTCAGTTCAGCGCCGATGCCGAAAAGAGCGAGAGAGAGAGAGAGAGAGAGAGAGAGAAATCCACATGTCTAATTGATTTGATTACTGCCTCGATAAACGGATACGATCGTCTCGCAAGTGAAACGAGATAAACATGCGCTCGACCAGGGGCATCATTCAAATGGCGCGATCCTCTAAAGGGTACCTTCTGAACTTCCTCAAGACTATGTCGAGGGTACGTCTCTTTTCACCTGGCAGGTTGAATGTATTCATTAATAACAAATTCATTAATTTATCTCCATCGTAGCCGAATGATAGCCAAGTATCCCGAATGGTTTGTCTTGCAAAGGAAAGCTGTGACAAAGACGCTACATTCTTGACTTCACTAGTTGTTCCACTCTGGGGCTTGCACATTGTCCAGCTTCTGTGTGTACATTTCTTACTGTGGACAACATTGGAACGGTTC